ACAACAATCTATATATGAAAATGATAAGAGTGTCATCATGGAAGAGAAGCCCTGAATAGGAGATAATTAGAATTCACTTCAAGATCACTGAAGGGGTTCCTGCCTGCCACTCCATGCACATATATGCCTGTGCCAGCAGCACCATGCCATTGCCAGGCATGAAACTGGCCATGCTCCTTCACACCTCGTTGACTAGTCAGAAAATTAAAGCCATTTTTCTACCAAAAACCACCCTTTACATTTTGCAAATTTCACTTTTTCTGCTATATCAGTATTTTCTTCTGCTGAATAAAGATTTTGTTGAAGCACCATCACCTCTAAGAAATCCCCATATTGTGTTGAGATAATTTTCTAGCAGTTGCCTCATACCATATGTATTACCGTACGTACTCATTTTGTAATTTTTCTATTGCTAGCATATATCTACCTTGATTCTTAAATTCCTAGAATTTAAAATTAATATCTCTCTTCTTTATATTCTTAGTCAACAGAAAAGTGCAGGGAATAAAACACGTTAGATACACACACACACACACACACACACACACACACACACACAATTAGTTTGCTGGGGCTGCCATAACAAAATACCACATATTAGGTGGCTTAAGCATCAGAATTTTATATTCTCACAGTACTGGAAGCTAGAAGTCCAAGGTAAGGCAGGTTTGGTTTCTTCTGAGAACTCTCTTCTTGGTGTGCATTGGAGATTATTACAAACAACTCTATGCACATAAACTAGTAAACCTGGAAGAAATGGATAAATTCCTAGACACTTGCCTCCTCCCAAGCCTAAACCAGGAAGAAGCCAAAACCCTGAACAGACCAATAACAAGATATGAAGTTGAGGCAGCAATTAAGAACCTACCACACAAAAAAAGCCCAGGTCTAGATGGGTTTACAGCTGAATTCTACCAGACACACAAAGAGAAGCTGGTACCATTCCTTCTGAAACTATTCCAAATAATCCAAAAAGAGCGAATCCTTCCCAAATCATTTTATTAGACCAACATCATCCTGTTACCAAAACCTGGCAGAGACCCAACAAGAAAAGAAAACTTCAAGCCAATATCCATGATGAACATAGACACAAAAATCTTCAATAAAATACTGGCAAGCTAATTGCAACAGCACATCAAAAACTTATCCTCCATGATCAAGTAGGATTCATCCCGGGGATGCAAGGCTGTTTCAACATACGCAAGTCTATAAATGTAATTCACCACGTAAACAGAACCAAAAACAAAAACCACATTATTATCTCAATTGATGCAGAGAAGCCCTTTGACAAAATTCAACAGCCATTTATGCTAAAAACCCTCAATAAACTAGGTATTGATGGAAAGTACCTCAAAATAATAAAAGCTGTTTATGACAAACCAACAGCCAATATCATACTGAATGGGCAAAAACTGGAAGCCTTCCCTTTGAAATCTGGCACTAGACAAGAATGCCCTCTCTCACCACTCCTATTCAATAGAGTACTGGAAGTTCTAGCCAGATCAATCAGGCAAGAAAAAGAAATAAAGGGTATTCAAATAGGAAAGGAGGAAGCCAAATTGTCTCTATTTGCAGACGACATGATTGTATATCTAGAAGATCCCATCGTCTCAGCCCAAAATCTCCTGAAACTGATAAGCAACTTCAGCAAAGTCTCAGGATACAAAATCAATGTGCATAAATCACAAGCATTCCTATACGCCAATAACAGACTTAAAGAGAGCCAAATCAAGAATGGACTACCATTCACAATGGCTACAAAGAGAATAAAATACCTAGGAAAACAACTAACAAGGAATGTAAAGGACCTCTTCAAGGAGAACTATAAATCACTGCTCAATGAAATAAGAGAGGACACAAACAGATGGAGAAACATTCCATGTTCATAGTTAGAAAGAACCAATATCGTGAAAATGGCCATACTGCCCAAAGTAATTTGTAAATTCAATGCTATCCCCATCAAGCTACCAACGACCTTCTTCACAAAACTGGAAAAAACCACCTTAAACTTTATATGGAACCAAAAGAGAGCCCGCATAGCTGAGGCAATTCTAAGCAAAAAGAACACAGCGGGAGGCATCACACTACCTGACTTTAAGCTATACTACAAGGCTATAGTAATCAAAACAGCATGGTACTGGTACCAAAACAGACATATAGACCAATGGAACAGAACAGAGGCCTTGGAAGCAACACAACATATCTACAACCATCTGATCTTTGACAAACCTGACAAAAACCGGAAATGAGGAAAGGATTACCTTTTTAATAAATGGTGTTGGGAAAACTGGCTAGCTATGTGCAGAAAGTAGAAACTGGACTCCTTCCTGACACCATACACTAAAATTAACTCCAGATAGATTAAAGACTTAAACATAAGACCTAACACCATATAAACCCTAGAAGAAAATCTAGGCAAAACCATTCAGGACATAGGAGTAGGCAAGGACTTCATGACCAAAACACCAAAAGCATTGGCAACAAAAGCCAAAGTAGACAAATGGGACCTAATCAAACTCCACAGCTTCTGCATGGCAAAAAGAAATAGTCATCAGAGTGAATCAGCAACAAACAGAATGGAAAAAATTTTTGCAGTTTACCCATCTGACAAAGGGCTGATATCCAGAATTTACCAAGAATTAAAACAGATTTACAAGAAAAAAACAAACAAGCCCATTCAAAAGTGGGCAAAGGATATGAACAGACATTTTACAAAAGACATACACGAGGCCAACAAACATATGAAAAAACACTCATCATCACTGTTCATTACAGAAATGAAAATCAAAACTACATTGAGATACCATCTCATGCCAGTTAGAATGGCGATCGTTAAAAAATCTGGAGACAACAGATGCTGGAGAGGATGTGGAGAAATAGTAACACTTTTACACTGATGGGGGGAGTGTAAATTAGTTCAACCATTGTGGAAGACAGTGTGGCGGTTCCTCAAGGACCTAGAAATAGAAATTTCATTTGACCCAGCAATCCCATTACTGGTATATATCCAGAGGATTATAAATCATTCTACTATAAGGACACATGCACACGAATGTTCATTGCAGCACTGTTTATGATAGCAAAGACCTGGAACCAACCCAAATGCCCATCGATGATAGACTGGACAGGGAAAATGTGGCACATATATACCATGGAATATGCAGCAATCAAAAATGATGAGTTCGTGTCCTTTGTAGGGACATGGATGAACCAGGAAAGTGTCATTCTCAGCAAACTGACACAAGAACAGAAAATAAAATACTGCATGTTCTCACTCAGAGGTGGGTGTTGAACAATGAAAACACATGAACACAGGGAGGGGAGCACTACACACTGGGGTCTGTTGGGGAGAATAGGGGAGGGACAGCAGGGGTTGGGGAGTTCGGGAGATATAGCATGGGGAGAAATGCCAGATAGAGGTGAAGTGGGGGAAGGCAGCAAATCACACTGCCACATGTGTACCTATGCAACTATCTTGCATTTTCTTCACATGTACCCAAGAACATAAAATGCAATAAAAAAAGAAGAAAGACAAAATATCCATTTATTTATACTTTTGTTAAAGGCACAGAAATACCAGAAGGTAGCACAATGTTATCACAAGTTTACAGATTAAGAGTTATGTCAATCTAAAGAGAGCCTCATTTGTAGTAAGTCACAGAGTTTCCTTTATAAACTCTATGGAATGTTTCTAACAATTAAGGCATAGAAAATTTGCTTGTTGGGTAGAAATGGTTAATCTATCAGATCAGTTTAGTGTTAATAATGATTTTAGGAGAATAAAAGTTGTAATAGTTTAAGAATTATAAGATTGAAATACTAAGGATTGAATTTAGCTATAATTAACAGTTGTATAAGCAAAATATGAAAAAGATCTCTATGTGTCTGGGAACCGAATGTAGAAAGCAACATAATATTGCTGTACATTTTACTTGAATCTAGGCAAATAATTCATTTTAGAAACTATAACAATAGGTTATGTTTTTTAAATATAGTTATACAACAGTACTATGATAGGTATTTTATACACATTATTTAATCTACTCAATAACTCTAAAATGTAAGTTCTATAGCTTTTCATATTTCACCACTGAGAATGCTGTGGTTTAAAAGTATAAATTACTCATTCAAAGTTACACAGGTAATATGTTGTACAAAGAGTTTTTAATCCATACCTTTCTGTTTCTTAACTTCACAATTTTAAATACAATTTAATTTTACAACTAAATACACAGATATACATTCTAGTTTATTACTCTGGAATCCAAGGCAGAATTCTATTATAAATACCCTCAATTTTTCTCAGCTGGAATTTGGGATGTTGTAATCTGAAGAAACATGACTCTGACTTCATTTTACAACTTATTTCTTAAATATTTTAGCATATTTAGAAATATTTTCTTTGTTTCCAAAAGTTCTTTTTTTAAAGACAGAAGAGTGAGTGTGGTAAACACATTGTACTTCCAAATTTTGAATGCCAAAGCAGTAACTAGTTTATTTCTTTATTTTAAGCAGACTAAAAAAAACTCTCATTCTGCTTCCTTGTCGCTGTTCACTTTCATTTTGTTTTTATTTTATCTAAAGCAATTAACCAGCTGTACCTTCACTGGGCCTAAAAGACACAGTCTCATATATGAAAACACTTCTAACATATGGTTTTTAAGAATAAATTATTCTAGTTTTAGAAATAGTTATATTTGGTTTCAAAATACTTATAATTGTATAAAATTTAAATAAATATTTCTTGCTGTTTGAATATATTATAATTCATCGAATTTATTTGATTTTTATCTTTGGATTCTCATTTCACCAAAGCAGGAAATTTCTGTGATTCAAATATAATAAAACTAAAACCAATATAAAATTATAAATAAAAAGAGTTCTGACTAAAATCAATTTAATAATTAAATTTTCTATCTTATACTCTACCATGAAGCTAAATTTTACAATCTTCTATTATCTCCGAGATTTCTCTCATCCACAGTTCTCCCATTACTCACCATAATCCTGTAACTATGCACATTGTTAACAAACACCAGGGACCATCTCCTTTCACTCTCACATTCCTCTTTTCCTGATACTTTGGAGTTCAGGCCAGCATGCTTCCAAGATACACAGAGAGTTAAGTGAAATGCTTTATATCTAACATGGATTCAGCAACAAAGACTGACCTGGTATTTCTGAGTTATCATTGACCTAATATATCAAATTAATTGAGCCATATAGTCCCTAAATTCACTACCCCAAACACAACAAAAAATCAAGTCAGTAAGCAAAATAACCATGGAAAGATAAAATAAATAAATAAATGAAAACTTAAAAGGTACAAAGAAGGCAAATTAATTGCCCTGATTATCTTTGTAATTTTTGGAGTAAGGATTATAAATTTTGCTAAAGAGAAATGCAGCACTTTCCTGGACTTATTCCCTTTTCTTGGATTTATATCATACTTTCCAAACCTGATTCTAACAATTATATTTATCACTTCTAACACATTTCTTCTCAATGAAATACTTACTGCTTTCCAACTAATTTATTGGTAAGCACCCCAAAATACAAATGTACAATTTGGCTAGCACTTGAAACAAGAACAGCAAAAGAGATTGCCTTTGCAAATTTAATTTTGAATTTTAATTGATATTTATACCATTGTGGCCAAAATTTGATTTGCTGAAATAATTGGCATTTTGAATGTTGGGAATTCTAAAAAGGAAGTAAATCACTCTGTATAATGGCTAGACTGAAGTGATACACATCACCATTCAAATTCCATTATTTCAGACCTTAAAACAGAATAAAGAGTTTTGTTTTGTAGTTCAGTATAAACCTAGTCAATTTTCAAAATTCTTTTAAATTAGTTACTTATCGTAAAGAAACATCATTCATGCTGTTTACATACATTGAGAGCATAATATTCTAACTTACCTCCTACAAAGACTACTCATTAAAACCAGTAAACTAACCTGGCCCTTAAATTTTAAGCTATGTTTTATTAATGCAAAAATTCTGTTGATTTTGTGATGTTCACCTTTTCAGATAGTACTGTGGTTATTCTGGTCTATATTAACTTCAAAGAAGGCTAGAGAAGGGGATAAAACTGTAATTGTGGTCCAACACAGCTATGTACTTAAAACCTTTTTCTTTTACTTAGTAATGGAATATTGTCAAAGATTAGGATATGTTATGGCACAGTTGAGAGAAGTCTTTGTACTATTTAGTTTTCATATGAAATCAATATTCTATGTATTATACTGTATACTTATTGTATAAACAAGTGATCAAGATACCTCTCTTGCTTTCAAGAAGCTTACCACACACATTTAGGAGATATAATAATACTCATACATTTTGTATTAAAGTGTCTTTAAATTTATTTGTATCAAGCCTTTAAAGCTCTCATACAAGGGTGTAAGAACACTTTTCTCACACAGTATCTTGATTGCTATAAAGGATTTCTAATCTTTGAGGCAAACTATAGTCATGCTAAACTTTAGTATAAAAATTATACATGGATAATCTGGAAACCACCATTCTCAGCAAACTGACACAAGAACAGAAAACCAAACACCACATGTTCTCACTCATAGGTGGGTGTTGAACAACCAGAACACATGGGCACGGGGAGGGGAACATCACACACTGGGGTCTGCTAGGGGGTGGGGGGCCAGGGGAGGGACTGGGGACATGGAGAGGTTAGGAAGGGATAACACTAGGAGAAATGCCTGATGTAGATGATGGGCGGGATGGAGACAGCAAACCACCATGGCATGTGTGTACCTATGCAACAATCTTGCAAGATCTGCACATGTACCACAGAACTTAAAGTACAATAAAAAAGAAAGATTATATAATTTGAAATATTTTATTTCATTAAAATCAATGCTTTTATTGGCTCAGAAGTGATTTATCTTGTATAGCCAACACTAGAGAAACTCCATAATCACCAACTAATGAAGCTTCAGAGAAATATAAATGTAGAATTTATAAAGGTAATGAAAATACCTCAAGCCTATAACCAACATAACTTTGCTATGCTCATGAATTACCAGAGTCACTTAGAGTAAGGGAAGGATGTGTTTGTTTAGAGTGGGCAGTCATGAATACCTTGCTATGGCTGATTACCATTCTTACTACTAGAAAATGGAACTGTTACACACAACAGCATCTGCTGTGCTGAAGTACAGCAATGCCCAGATTGCCTATTACAAAATTCCAGAGACTATTTGCCAGCAATAGACTTCATTTTGCCAATGGATAATTTGCAGTTTGCTATGTCATCAGAATCTGAACATGTCGTATCTCTTTCTCATTACGGCCAATCCAAGAATGAAAAAAAAAAAAAGTATAAAGGAAGAACAAAGTGACAGCAGACTCCACGCAAATCATCAGTCGACACAAAATATGTGCTCACAGAAGCTATAATGTATATACCTATATAGTTCCTGACACTATATAAGGTGGAAACAATGCTATTCTGCAGCAGATGAAATTTCACAGGTAGATAAATCAGACTCTGTGAAGAATGAGAAAGAGGTTGTAAAGAGAAAGAGTAAAATTTGGAACCCTGAAGGTTATACTGTAAAATATAATCTGTACACTAAATAGAAATCACAAAATATATTTTGGTATTTACTTTAGGAAAAAACAGAAAATATATGTGCCACATCTAAAATTTATATTTTTTTACATTATAAGAAAGTTCTATTAGATTATGTAAATAGTGCTAATGTTAGTTGAAATACGAATATAATTCCTGAACACTCATGAACTAAAACTAAAATATAATGACAATACCTTAAGCCTACAGACAACATAATTCTGCTATATTCATGAGTCACTAGAATCATTTGGAGGTAAAGAGGATGTGGGCAGTCATGAACATGACATAAAACGTATTTCTTGTCTATACATTTCTATTATTTGAAATTTATCTCAATTTTTATATAAATCACTGAAATAGTATAAATACCACCCAGTATAATTGCTAAATTATAAAACTTTAAATTGGCAGAAACTTAAGAAGTTAGATTTTTACAAGAATCTGTTCCTCATGGAAAAAGCCCTTTGTAACATACTTAGCAAATGGCTATTTACCATCCTTGTGGATATTTGAGTGGTGAAAAACTCGCTGCCTCTTGAGGCTACTCACTTTTTTCGCAGCACTTATAATTAGCCAATATAAGTTCAGCCAAAATGTTCTAGCCTATGCCTTTTACGTGCTTGTCATAGAGACAAGATATCGCCAGTATTTCTTTCAGACTCTTCATTCTCACTAATTCCCCAGGTCCAATAACCCAGTCCTATCAGTTTTAACTCCAATAATTTTCTTTGCATCTGTTCTCTCCTTCCATCCTTTCTTATGCCCCCTCCCTAATTTTATACATCCCAACTCTATCAGAATTAGTTTAATACCTTCCTTAGTAGTTTCCCTTTTAGTTAATTGTCTCAACAGTCTGTCCCTAACATCAGCCTTCTTCTGCAATACTGTTTGAATTTATTTCATAGAAGGCATTCAGCAGACTATCAGAATAAATTTGAAATTGCTTTTATTACTAGGTAGAGTAGCTAAGAACACAGGCTTCCATCTTTTGGCACTATCTTCTGCTAGGACTTCAGAATTCTGTCCTCTTTGGCCAAGAACTGGGAAAAAGATAGCAGAGAAAGCTTTCATCTTGGTGACCGTGCCTGATGGAAGTGACACACATCACCACTCAAATTCCGTTGTTAAGAACCAGTTATATGACTTCACTTAGATGCAAACTAGGCAAAAAAATAAAGTTTCTGCTTTAGCAGCCACTTCCCCAAGTCAATCCTACAATATGGAATGAGACTGAAAATGTTAGAAAACCTAGAGCCAGATCTTCTCAATCTCATATTTCAGCTTCAATTTACACCCTATCGATTCACAGTCCTTAAATTTCATTCACTACATGACCTATTTTTCCCCTAAGATCTTTTACTGAGATACACCTGTCTTGTCTTGGAAAGTTTTCTTTAATCCTCCTCACTTCTATAAACTATTGAAACCCTATTCAGATTTTAAGTTTTAGGTCAAATTATGTTCTTATCTAAAATCTTCCTTAATAATTCAATTGGAAAGAGCTCCTTTTAAATGATTCCTCTTCAGTTTCTTTCACCAGTGTTTTATAGTTTTAATTATAAAGATCTTTTACTTCTTTGGTTCAGTTAATTCCTTGGTATTTCGTTTTATTTGTGGCTATTGTAAGTGGGATTACATTTTTATTTATTTTTTAAGATTTTTCACTGTTGGCATATGGAAATGCTATTATTTTTGTATGTTGATTTTGTATCCTGCAACTTTGCTGAATTTGATTATCAATTCTAATAGTATTTTGGTGGAGTCTTTAGGTTTTTCAAAATATAAGAACATACTATCTGCTAACAAGGATAATTTGATTTCTCCTTTCCAATTTGGATCCCCTTTACTTTTGTCTTACATGATTGCTCTAGTTAGGACTTCCAATATTACGTTGAATAACAGTGGTGAAAGTAGTCATCCTTGTCATGTTCCAGATCTTAGAGGAGAGGCCTTTAAGCTTTTCCCCATTCAATATAATACTAGCTGTTGGTCTGCCATATATGGCTTTTATTATGTTGAGGTATTTTCCTTCTATACCTAGTTTTTTGAAGATTTCATCATGAAGGAATGTTGAATATTATTACATGCTTTTTCATCATCAATTGAAATGATCATAGGGCTTTTGTTCTTCATATTCTGTTGAAAAGATGCATCACATTGATTGATTTGTATATGATGAATCATCCTTGGATCCCAGGAATAAATCCCACTTGGTCATGATAAATTATCTTTTAAATGTTCTGTTGAATTCAATTTGCTAGTATTTTGTTGAGAATCTTCGCATCAATGTTAATGAGAGATATTGGCCTATAGTACATTTGTCGATGTATTTGTCTCTGGTTTTGATACCAGGGTAATACTGGACTTATACAATGAGTTTGGAAGTATTGCCTTCTCCTCTATTTTTTTGGATTGGTTTAAGTAGGAATGGAATTAACTCTTGTTTAAATGTTTGGCATAATTCAACAGTGAAGCCATCAGATCCTAAGCTTTTCTTT